CGTGCAGTCAAAATGTCTCATGACAGTCGATTGGTTTAAATATCATACCAGTTAGCAGTCGGGAGTATTTAAAATAATTTTATTTAAAATATATACGTATTTAATGAGATGAGGGGTGCAGGGGAAAGCGGAGGCGATTCGAAAATCGGCCGAAAGTTACATACACTTTACGTATGTTCATTTTGTACTAGCAACTATAATTATTAATCAGTTACTTTTCATGGTAATATATTAATACTATTTAGCTCTTGATAATTCTGCGATAGTTTTAAATATGCGTCATATCGGTGAGCAGTCAGTAGAACTTAAAACAATAACATATTTAAATGATAACAGCACGGTTTATTATCGGTGAGCCGGGTGAGGGGGTGACGTGCGACTCGTGTCCGCCCTTGCACATCAAAACAATCCCCAAGGCTGCTTTCACTAACCGTGTAATATTAACGCGTCAATTTTACATATTTATTCTTTATTCGTCAAACGCAATCGCATATATAAAATAAAATTATTAAATAAATCTAAAACAGTTGCTTTTCATAGTAATATATTATGTGCGGTGCGGTGTTGTGAGAGAGACAGCGAAAGCTAGACGTAGACGATTCGAGGATCAACCGAAGGTTGCACTGTCCCCCTCACATCACCCCTCCGCGTGAAGTCAAAATGTCTCATAACAGTTGAATATTTAAATATCATAACAGTCAGCATTCGGAAGTTTTTAAAATAATTTTATTTAAAACATGTATTTCAAATATATGTATGGAGGGGCGAGTGGAGGAGGTCCGGTGGGTCGAAGATGGTAAAGTAGTGAGTGGAAGGTGAGAGAGGATGTCAAAAAGTTGTAATAACGAAAAAAGTGAAAATACGGCGAAAGAGAGGAGCGGCGGGGGGGGGGAATGGGGTCAGGGGAAGGGGCGGGGGGAGGATGTCCGGTGGGCCGAAGATGGTGGTGTTGCGAGTGAAAGGTGAGAGAGAATGTTAATAAGTTGTAATAACGAAAAAGAGTGAATTACGACGAAAAAGAGGGATGGCGGGGGGAGGTGGAGGGGCGAGTGGAGGAGGTCCGGTTGGTCGAAGATGTTAGAGGTGTGAGTGGAAGGTAAGAGAGGATGTTAAAATGTTGTAATAACGAAAGAATGTTAAATACAGCGAAAGAGGGGGTGGCAGGAGTCAGTTGGGGGGGAGGGGGAGGGGCGAGTGGAGAAGGTTCGTTGGACTAAAGATGGTGGAGGTGCGAGTGAAAGGTGAGAGAGGATGTTGAAAAGTTTAAAAATGCGGACAGAGAAGAAGAAGGAGAAGGAGAAGGAGAAGGAGATGGAGAAGGAGAAGGAGAAGGAGACGTTTCTTAATTTTTCATTAAAATCACCACTTTTCGACCGCTTATATCTCCATAACGGCTTGACCCATTAAAAATTTTTTTGGCTCAAATTACTCGTGGCGATGCCTCCTTTCAAGACATATAACGTTCGATTCAAAATTTTTTATATTTTAGTAATTATGCACCTCCTGAAAATGTACTTTGGTGGCTCGGGATAAGAGACTTGTAGCGTCTCGCAGTTTTTGAACATGGCCGCAGACGCTACCGCGTCTCCTGATATTATATATACTAGAGCGGATAAAGGAAATGTTACCGTAGCTTTAGACAGAAATAAATACATCCATAAAGTAGAAAATACATTAGAAGATACTAGTACCTATAAAATTATACAAAAAAATCCGATACATACAATTGAAAAGAAACTTAATAACTTAACCCATTAACGCCGGGAAACGATGATTTTGTTACTCTTTTTCCAGCCTCATTCTCTTAATAATTACAGACGATGAATTATAAGACAACTACATTTCTTACTAGTTTTGGGTGTGCTCTTTCAAAATCTGGCCTCAACATTTCATTTGATCGACCACAAAATTAAATATGGCGGATTTTATATGAAAAAATAGGAAAAAATGAACGATTCTTTTTTTCTTTATTTTTTTTTCACTTTGAAACCGTAGGAAAATTCGATGTTTTTCTCCATCATCGGTGAAGAAATTAGTTGCACTTTAACGGAAAATTTTTTAAAATTATGATTTTTATCATTTTATTAACAAAATGGCGGTTTGATCTCTTCGCTAGGAATAGTAAATTTTTGTAAATGGCCCAACAAGATACCAAGCGATGGATTTATGTGAAATTTCGATATTTGGAAGTTTCTGAGCTCGCTGAATACAAATTTAACATCTTTGGCATAAAGTTTTAGTTGGCAGTTGACACAGACGGCAAATATATTTTGAATGAGTTCCCATATTTAGGGAAAGATGAAACTCGACCTACTAATCAGTCCCTTTCGGAGAGCATAGTTTTTGCGCTTATTAATCCTTTTCTCGGCAAAGGAAGAAATATAACTTGCGATAATTTTTTCACATCAGTCAGCTTGTCCAAAAAATTGAGAATAAAAAATACTAGTCTTGTTGAAACAGTTAACCGATCTAGAAGAGAGATTCCACTCAATGTAAAGAAATCCAAAGTTCCGCTTTATCAATCGAGCATACTAAAACACAACGATATGTTGCACATACCGTGGCGAGGTACAGTCGAAGTCCCGGAGGTAGACAGTGATAACACTCAGCACACTTTATATTTTAATACCTTTTATTAATAACAATGTTTTACAATTATGTGACTCGAAGTCACTGGCGTAGCCTGTAACTTGGCTATCGGTTTCGTTGTTATCTTATTATAAGTTGGTTAGCAGGTTGATATTATGACGTGACACTATGTTAACGTACTCGCGCACTGATACTCGACTTCTGCCTCTGGCTTCAGTCGGGTGGTATTTATTTACATGCTTCTGCTGAGCTAGTCAGCTGATTTGGAATGCGGTCGGTGACTGACCGATCGCATGTGGCAATTCCTTTTTGAAGTTGCTATGCTTAATTCTGCTTAAACTTACTAAAAGATATTTGGAAATTGTTCTACTTAAATGGAATTTCTACTTATTGTTGCTTAAACAGATAAGTTCGGAAATCGTTCCGCTTTGCTAATGCTTAAACTGCTAGATTGCGTTTTTGGTAATTGGAATCGCGTTGCAATCGCGATGTCGTACGCAATCGCTTTAATATATGTAAATGTTTTATTTTATATTTTAATATTTTATTTTAATATTTGTTGTGGGTATAACAGATATTACACTTACTGTGTACCAAGAAAAGGTTTCGAAAAATGTTTTCTTGCTCAGCACGATATACACAGATGTAGACATTGATCAAGGCCAGAAAAAACTTTCGGAAACAGTACGTTTTTACAATAAAACTAAATTTGGAGTCGATATAGCCGAATAGATGGCACGTCAATATTCTACGAAAGCGGCTTGTAGGCGATGGTCCATGCAAGCTTTTTATAACATTCTTGATTTGGCATCAATCAATGCATGGATTCTTTACAAAGAAACAACAAATAAACGGATCAGTAGAAGAGATTATATCCTTCAATTAGCTGAGGACCTTCGTGAGGAATATTTTAATACCAGGAATCGAAACAGAGCGATTTTCAACAAAGATAACATTCTTATTGAGAAGGAAAATAAAAAACGTCGACAGTGTCAAATTAGAAGATGCAACGGCAATAAAACTCTTGATAAATGTCATGTCTGCAACAAATTTGTGTGTGGCAAATGTACAGGAAATGTCATGAAAGTATGCATTACTTGTAACGAAAAATCCAATGCATAATACTACTAATAAGTTCATTTATGAAAAGTTTCTGTTTGCACGTTAAAATATTTTATAACATATTAGAAAATAATAGATCAATCGTTTTTGTATTATTGTTATAAACATAAAGATACATATCGTTCTTAAAATATATCATATTGCATATACATTGAAACCGATTTCTTTAATTAAATAATTTTTATATCGCACGAACATATTCTTTGCATTAGCGTTTAAAATGACCGCTTTAGAAGTAGTAGGAAGTAAAAAATTCTGGTAGTTCTAGTGTTAGTCAGTTCTACTCCATAGAATTAAGTCCGTGTCAGTTGTCCGAAGCGATAACCCGAGTCAACTGTCCGGTCAGTACTAGTTCATCAGTTGCGATCATGGTGGAAGTATTACATGGTGTACTCAGATTGCAAGCGTCTCTCTCTAAAATTTGCGCTCTCTGTCATTTCTCTGCTTCTTATTCCGCAGGACTGCCAACTGAGAAAAAATTACGTATTTCACTTTGTGTACGTTCCACTTAACGTTCGCAACGCTCGCGAGAATCATTTTGTCCTTCTTGTAATCGAATATTAAGTAAGGATGAGATGATACACGCGATCGTTGCGAACATTAAGTGGAATGAACCCTTTTGTAGACTCTAATAAGCGATTTCTACTGGGAAAACTAGTGCAACACTGATGCACACTAAGTGCAATGGAATGCAAATCAATTTACATGTTTTTAGTATTAATAAATAATTTAATCATTTTAATTAGATATTCTTTGTTATCACGATAACCTTATAATGTTAAAAGAATAAAATTATTTATTAACACTGAAAATATGTGAATTGATTTGCATTTAATTGCACTTCTGTCATCGTTGCATGTACATACATAATGAAAATATTATAAATTAAAATTAACAATAAATAT